GAAAATAAAATTCAGGCAGCGGGACGGGCCCACTCGGTAGTCGGTATGCGACTTCATTTTTTCAATTGTTGAATTTTATTACTATTTCTCTTGTTCCATTGTTCGCCAGCTGGCAGCTTAAAAAGTTCAGCAAAGTTGAACGAGTATACGTATGTACAAATTCAAATATAAAGTGTATTAGTTTTTTAGCATATTAAATTAAGTTTATCAAACGTTTGAATTATTTGCAAGAAGATAATAAAAATTCAATGTAGATAATCATGTGTGATATAAAGTTTCAATAGTTGATATGTGAATTTAGAGTATGTTTTCATACTTTAGTGACTTCTTTAGAAATGCAACGGCATAATCAAATTATCAGTACATTTTAGAAGTGGCAAAAAAAAAAAAAAAGGTCTATTTACAAAAATTTAGATCAACCTCCTAAAAGTTGAGGATGAAAATATTATTTTATTAACTATTAGTCCAAATGAGCTGTCCATGGAGGACAATGAAACGAATGTTTTAATAATTGTTTTATATTTTTATTTTGATGAAAAAAACAGAATAACATATAAAAAGTAGTTCACATCAAATGGGAACAATTGATTGAATCTTGCTCTCTCCAATTATATATATATATATAAATTACATAAAAAAGTTATTTTTTCAAAATAAATTATGGAAGTTTATTATGTTATAATTAATATTTAAAATACTCCATGTATTTTATAACTTATAAGCATAAATGGCAAGACAATATTATCATTTGTGTTTTTAAAATTTTTTAAATGAGAATAACAACAAATAAACGAAAATTTGTTATTTATAAAGTCCTTATATAGTTCTTAAGAACTTTTTCTTAAATATTAGAAACCTTAAAACGCTCATAATTATATTATTTTGATATTTCATCTATCACATTGAACAATTCTAACCATTTCCCATTCTTTAATTTAATTCAAATTAAAAAAAAAAAACTCCTTAAAATATATTCTAAGAAACAAAGTTTCTAAGTTGATGTCACTTTTTTTTTAATATTGTTGATTCAAATATAGGATTAATAATTAAGATAATTATTTTGTGTTTTTTGACAGTGATAATTATTTTGTTAACGTAATTAATTAAAGGTACGAAACAAAAAGTAATGTTTAAAATCTTTTATTCCTATTTATCACTTTGATTTGATTTTGTACTTTTGCCGTTATCATTTTTTCTGTTTGAAGGTGACATGATTGTAGACAATATATATGAATTTTAGTTTTATGTTTCTTTAAGGCAAAATAAATTAGGTTTGAATTTTTTTATAATTAAATTTTTTTATTAGTATTATCAAAACTTACGTATTATTACGTTTTTTTTTTCCAAAAAAGAACTTGTCATTGTTTCTATAACTATTTCATAAAAAAAACAAATTTAAAGTAATAGACATGTTTGTAGTGTTTCTTAGGGTATTAGTTTTTATAAATTATCTTATTTTCATTTGTAAAAAGAAAATATAAAAACATAAATCTTTAAATTACAAGTTCTTTCTCTCAAATTCCACCCATGCTGACTAACGACTAAAGATAAAGATCTTCAACTAGACTATATACGTTAATTTTTCAACTAAAGAGTAAATTGTTATGTTATTTTTATCTATATATATATCTTGTTTTAAATTATAAATCTTTATTTCAATATCCAAAAATCGAACTAACTTTTAAAATAGAGTTTATAGAAATATTCATTATTTCAAACCTCACAAGATATACTAAATTATTTAACACAAAACGAAAAATTGTAGCAATGTAATTTATTAATGCATCGTATTATTCTTTTATGTTATAATACATTTAAATACTAATTTTCAATATAAGTTTTAATAATATATATATATATATATATATTATTTATTGATTTTAGGGGATAATATATATTTTAAAACAATATAAAAAAAGGATTACTTTTTTGAGTTTATTTGAAAAAATATATTATATAAGTAAACTTTAAAAAAAGACAAAAAAAGAAAACGTTTTTCTAATATGGAAAAGAATAAAAAAAATCTCTGATTTTTTTTTTCTGAAATTAATCTCTGATTGTATAAGTAAATCTCTGAAATTACGGAAGAAAGTAACTGGAATTAATTAGCCGTTAAATCATCGTCGCCTCTTGCTTGGTCAACAAGTCGTGTGCCAGTCAGCGAAACCGCCGCTTCCCTCGCCGGCCGCCGGTTGCCAACAGATCGTTGGCTGTCACGTTAATTGCATTTGTTCAACGGTAAAATTATATTCTCCCTCAAACCCTCACACTCTCGCCCTCTTCTCACAATAACAGAGTTCAATTTACTTCTTCTCACAATAACCCTCAAACCCTCACACTTGCATTTAATCGAGGGTTTGAGATGTGAGGGTTTGAGGGTTTGATCGACTATCAAACCCTCGATCCCTCTCGATCAAACCGTCGATCAAATCCCTCACACTTATACTATTCTTCTTCGCCCTTATTCTCAGAATAACAGAGTTGAATCCTCTGGCCTTCCGAGAGTTCAGATTGTTGCCAGGCACTGTTGGCTGGTTTTTCTTCCCCATCGATGAAAAGGCTTCCGAATGAGATCCCTATGGCCAAACAAAATAAGGAGAAACTGAGATTTTGTGGAAAACAGAGCATTTTCATTTATGAATAGAGGAATCGTACAAGAGAGAAGTGTACCAGAGAAGAGACGAAGAGAGTTGCGGGTTTAAAAGATTGGAGACATGGAAGGCGTTTGGAGCTTGGGTGAGTCGCATGGATATGGAAAATTTTGGAACTGGTAAATGATGAAGAAGGGAGGGAGAGGAACAGGGAGTGACAGAGAACAATCGGGGTATAAATCTTACTCTGTAACTCTCTCTCTAGATATAAGCTACTATTTTATGCTTTTAATTAGAACCTTAATGGCTTCCTTTAATTTGAAAAAATCTTGAAATGTTTCCATGTTGATCATGCAGTTAAGTAATGGGAATTTTTTCTGTGAGATAAAGTAATGAAATTTTAGACAATGCCATGTGATTTATTTCAATTCTAAAATTAATTATCGATTTGTCGACAATTAGGCAACTTTTAAACCAAAATCTTGATAATAATGTGCATTTTACAAGTTTTACTATTTGTATATTGATTGAAACTAACTATGAGA